CATGGAACACAGTTCTATCACATAATAAAAGCATTATTTTCCTTTTAAGATAAAATAAACTGAGGTTTCATTGTACGAATGTATTTATTTACATAAAGTAAACCGTGGTTTTATTGTATGAAATATTTTTTATTTTGAATAAATTAAACCGTGGTTTTATTGTTTGATATAATTACGTTCTGTACTGTTCCGTGATCTAGTATGCCGTTCTGCTCTGTTTCCAGTTCCACTGTGAAGACTTCAGGCTACCCCCCCTCCCTTTTCAAGTTACCTCCCGGTAATCTGATATCGATTTCATATTACCCCTGCACTGTTCAGATTACCCCCTCGCTGATTTAACTAAAATGATAAATTTTTATGCTTACAACTCATGATACGTTTATTGAATAAAACACGTGAAACATACAAGATTGAAAACTAGTATCAATATCTGAAAAAATAAAGAATGTCACAAAAATGTTAATTATATTAAAACAACTCATACACTAGTTCAAAGTGCATAACATATTACACACAAATATAAGATATACAAAGATTCAACATAATTGGAGAAATCCAGAAGAAAAAATTACAATAGTTACAAGAGTGATACAGAATTACAACTAAATTTTGAATTAAAAATACAGTCCACTATTTAACTCAACAAAAGTAACAATAACAAAAACTTAACAAATTGCAGGCTCAAAGTAGTGTGAAAAATTGCTGATCATAATAACTTCGTCAGCATGAATGTTTTTCATATCTGTCTTGAGTGGTTTATACTCTAACCATTTATTGTCATTATTATTTGTTGCTGTTGTTGTTGTCAGTTTATATGTGTTTATGCATGAAATAAGTATCTAAATAAGTATAAATAAATAACTTTTGAGAGGGTAATCTGAAAACGTAGGGGGATAGGTTGAAATCACCTTCAAGCTACCCCCAGGGTTAATTTGAAATCGATTTCATCCTACCTCCCGGTAATCTGAACGCGTTACCGTGGGGTAAGGTGAAGCAGGGATAATCTGAAATTGCTACACCGGGTTTTAGATTATGCCAAGAAAACGTGTTTCTACCACAGAAAGCTCTATTGAATGAAATTCTACGCCGACTTTTTCCGAACTAGACTTAATAATGTTGGCGGTGTTTTAATGATAGTATTTAGTTTCCTCTTCTCACAAATGGAGTGTCGGGATTCATTCTAAGCCTTCTTTTTTTTTAAAAAAAAAGTATCAATTCTGCTGAAATGACAAGAAGAGTCCTTTAAAACACTGTAGTTAGTCCTAACTGTTTATTTATAGTTGAGGTTATGGGAATTGAAATAACTGGAAAGGTATTTCTTGTATGGCACTTTTATGGGTTTTCATACGTTATTTATTTAATATTACAATGTATTTTCTTTATATGTTTTTTTTTGCAATACATAACATAAATATTAC